TTTTTCCTTCTATATAATCCTTTTTATTAGCATTGTTGCAAAGTTTTAGTAAAAATGCGCCAAGTATTCAGATGGGACAAGTGAATTTCCCAATCACGACAACCCAAATATCCAAATGCGACAAGCTAAATTTAGAATCACGACAAGTGAAATTTCAATTTGCGACAATTTGATACTGTATTATCACCCAAAAAAAAAAGGGTTCAGTATGACAGAGTTTAGCAGTATACCCATTAATGTAAGGGGGGAGACAATGGTCAAGACATGTTACTCATTTCAATAGGTCTTTACGTTACCAACACCTGTAGATATAACACTAACACCCTTTTGGACAACAGTCTTACAATATGGCAATTTTTTACTACAGAAATCATCAACACCAGGAAACCCATTGTTTAGAAATCTCATGAGTACTATCGCAAGTGTGTAAGTATCTCTCTTTTTTCTTGAGTGTATTCTAAACTCATTTCAAAAACAGATTTGATACAAAACAGCCACCGTATCGAATCCTATTTCAACGAGAAGTCAACACGGTCTGTTTACAGATAGCAGTCGCAGACACTGAACAAGCGATACGTACGGCATGGACTTGGATAGAAAGAAATATGATCCCTGAATTAGAGATGATAGATCATCCAATCGATAAAGAACATTGGGTATCTGAAAAGATAAACATGATTGTCACTGCCATAGGTTATTATACATATAAAACTGGTTGTTTATGATGCTGATACAGTGATATAACATAGATTCGGGAACGGATGAGCTCTCTTCTGATGAAAATGTTAGAAACGCATCAAGATCATTTAGGCAAATATTCGATATTCCCCCTTCTGAACGATTTGTAAATTGTAAATACTTCTCTTTATTTTTATTTTTTTTTCTTTACCAAAATTGACCTTTGATTATAGATTATTCGTGTTCACACAGAGCTAGACAAGGATGGCTATATATAAGTGAAAACTATATCGGATTTCATTCATTCTTATTGGGTTTAGAATCAAAAACGCTGATAGAATTAAAGGATATTCAGGAACTGAAGAAAGAGAGATCAAAAGGTATTTTTGATGACAGTTTGAGGATCATCACCAAAGATAAGCAGGAGGTAAGTACAATTAAGATACATGCATCTTATTTTACTAAATTACAATTATATAGCACCATTTTTCAAATATGTTCAAAAGAGATGAAGTCTATGATTTACTCATCCAACTCACCGGTCAAGCCATGCAACGATGGTTAAAAAGTTCAAGTATGGATACTCCTGGTGCATCTACCGACGCAGACTTTTTGGCTGCAGAATCAAAACATGCTCAAGAGATGCGACAGTCGACATCATCTTCTGGACGGACGCACCAATTGACAAGCCCCTTGAAGCAAGATTTGGCTGCCCAAAAACGAGATCAGGCTTACTGCATACGATTCAGATTACCTGATAGCGAACATCTCATGACAGGCCTAGACGCAACATACACAAAAACTGCCAGCACAGATCGTGAATCGGTCTTTTTGTCTCAGGTGCCGCCTGGACATATCAATCTGCTGGGTCGAGTGTATCTGTCAGAGACATTTATGACATTCGAATCTCATGAAAGGCTTGCCGCTCCTCAGCAACACTTGCCTCTCTGTAAAGCTGTCTTTCCTCTCTATACTGTGAAGCGTGTCGAAAGGATTCACTCGGGCGCTTACACGTCTGGAGTAGCTATTGTAACACTTCACAAGATAGAACATACCTTTATGCTTCATGTAACATCTTTTTTTCTCTTAAACAGTCATATATCTCATACATTGATTTAGGCCGAGAAGAATGACTGTGAACAGTTTTGTGATGCATTGAAAGGATTGTTACAAAAGCAAGTGCCTCATTTTAAAAAAGTCAGGCCTTTTGTTGCTTCATGTGAGTCCGAGCATCTCTGTACCGCAGACACGCCTTCACCTCCTGGTGGACTTGGCCTGGAATTTGGCTATCCAGAGGATTCGAAAAAGTCAAAAGATAAAAGCAAGACAAAATTATGGAAGCTCTATTTTCAAGGTAAATTACTATGATATTTAACATCACTTTCCAATCTTATATGTGATCCTTTAGAAAATGGAAGAAATCTAACCATGATCCGTTTACCAACATTCGGTAAGCTCGTACGCGTCGGTTTGCCCAACAGACTCCGAGGCGAAATTTGGGAAGCCGCTTCAGGAGCAATGTACTTGAGATTTGCCAATCCAGGTGTCTATCAAGATATTTTGGAAAAATACAAGGGGCAAAAGTCAACATCAACAGAAGAAATCGAAAAGGATCTGAATAGATCTTTACCAGAGTATGCCGGATATCAATCACCAGAAGGCATCGATCGACTTCGAAGAGTACTTACTGCCTATGCATGGAAGAATCCAGAGCTCGGTTATTGTCAGGCCATGAACATTGTTACCTCTGCCTTACTGATGTAAATAGATACACACAAAAGGGGAAAAAATCTTATAAATGTATTTAGATATACAACAGAAGAACAAGCGTTTTGGCTACTTCACGTTTTGGTGGATCGTATATGTCCTGGATACTATAGTACTAGCATGTATGGCGCTTTATTAGATCAAATAATCTTTGAACAACTTGTAGAAAAGACAATGCCTATGCTCTGGAATCATTTTAAAAAGACAGAGGTGGAGTTGTCTATAGCATGTCTACCTTGGTTTCTCAGTTTATATGTCAATTCGATGCCATTAGAATGCGCTGTACGTGTACTTGATATATTATTTATGGAAGGTCCAAGGATTTTATTCCAGATAGGGTAAAAAAGGGAAAAATGAATGGTGCTGTATATATCTTATAATTTTTTCTAGACTGGCTGTTTTAAAGATAAATGGTGAAGAGTTACTGCAGACAAGGGATGATGGTGCATTTTTAGATATTTTAAAATCCTTTTTCCAGTCTATTGAAAGCAGTAATGATCATCGCTCGACCATAGAAAAAAAATCTCGAACAAGACTTACAGTAAATATATCTCCTTTTATATATATATATATTAACTAAATCATATCTTGTAGAAATTGAGTGAGATGATGTTGATTGCTGTAAGATACAAAGAAATATAAAATGGGGATAGATAGCTTATACATTTCTAGTATAGAGAATTTTCTCTTGTGACAGACGAAATGGTGGTTGAACTTCGACGACAGAACCAGCTCAAAGTGGGAGCAGGAATTGAATCATTCACAAAACGTACGGTCATCCGGCACTTGAAGGACACAGCCGGCTTTTCAAAGGAAGATATTGGAACTATGTATGACAAATATTTTGGAACCTTGTATTATTCCAATCGAGACACTGGAGGTAAACCAGAGTCAAAGATGAACAAGGAGACATTCCAAGCTATGCTTGCATCCATGACACCATGGGCCAAGTTCAAGAGCACGAATGAGCACCCAGATTCGATCACAGCCAAGGAGTTGAGTACAAGTTTTGTGTACCGTATGTATCGAATGTTTGCAGGTGGAAAAGACGAATTGATTGATTTCCAAAAGATGGTGCGAGGAATGAGCGAGATACTACAAGGAGTAAAATGATGGTTATTCTTGGTTTATTTGTTACTTATTTTTCTTTAGGATATCATGTCACATATGGATTGGTTCTTTAGGCTTTATGATGAAGATAAGGATGATGTTTTGACGAGTAAAGATATTATCAATATCAGCAAAGAGCTCTATTGGCTACTGAGTGTTCTTAAAGATACGGATATAGCATGGGATGCAGTAACTAGCCTGATCGTTCACAGTTGTGAACAGTCGGATATTGCTAAGGGAACACAACCTGATGAGGCAACGCTAAAGCATAGACTAGCCGATTTAACGATGAAGAGTAAAGAAGAATCACTGCATTTACGTATGAAGCAACTGGACAATTCCATTATTGCCGATGTGATCGATATCACTTTACCGTCATTTCGTATGGTTGTACTCACAAATGAATCTCTCGAAATGCTGTTTGATCATGGATTTAAGGATAGCTTTAACTTTAGTAAATCGGCTGTTGATAGACAAAAGAGTTTAGGCAGAGAATTATTCGAGAACCTGTTTGCTCAAGGACAACGATTTGCTAAACCAAGCTCTAGTCTGACAGTCAACTCACCTGTAGTCAACAGGAGTAGATCAGCTTCTACCTCATCTACAACAGGAGTAGAAGATAAAGAAGTCGAGACCCTGATGGATGAATGGGGTCATTTTGAAGTATAAACATACAGCATGATTACGTCAATAAAAAGGGCGCCTTTTATATATTTTACATAAATTATGTGGGAACAAATCAATCACAGCTTCTTTTTCCCTTAATTCCTTTTTATAATGAAGAACCTTTCCTCTGATACAGTCATCAAATTGAATATTGGAGGTGTCCCGCATTATACCTATTTTGATACTCTCAAACGATCATCTTATTTTATCAATCTTCTCAACGGCGAAATGGAGCAAAAAACCCTTGTTAACGGGGACGAGATCTTTATTGATCGTAGTGGTCAACTCTTTGGACACATTCTTGAATTTCTTAGAACAGGCAGCTTAGGTTCTGTAGAAGACGATATCAAGATGTTGTGTAAGATAAGAGAAGAAGCAGAGTATTATCAGTTAAATGAATTAGTCGAGACAATTGATGGTAAAATAAAGATAAAGCAATATATATATATATACAAATATAAATATATTAAACATATCCTTTAGGTTTAACAGAGGGTATCTCTGTCATCGAACATACTATGCCAGTGGGTTCAAAGGGTCAACAAGAAAATATGGCCAGAGTGTTTATGGACGCTATTGGAGAACAGGCCACGCTGAAATTAGCTTTTGCTACACAGATGAGGGTTGATCTATACAATACAGTGATTGAGTGTAACGGACGTATCAAGGGTGTACAAAGAATAGAAGGTCTCCATAAACAGATAGGACTAGGCAGTCAGATACAATGGCCACTTTTACTAAGACAGCTTGCAGCGTCCATGCCATTTGCATCACTTTATATCATTGAGGCTATGAGAAATAAAGGATTAGATGTCAACATTTTAAAAAAGGACACGACCTCCTCATTACCAGTTGAACTTCAAACAACAGAGGCAGCATCACTTCCTTTGGGAGCAAGAACAAGAAAGGCTCATTTGACATTTGCAGAGAAGAGATGTAGAGGATATTTTGATATAGAATACTACAGACAACAGATGGCAATGGCCTTCAAATTCCAAAACAATATGCATATTAAAAATATTTTGGCTCAAATAGAAAGAACAATCGTCTTGAACGATCAAGAAAAGCAAGCTACACTCAATCCTTTTATACCTGAACTTAGTCAATCTACCATTGACATGTTACCCGATTTTCTTCACAACATGATTCGCACTAATAACAATATTGATACTAATAATAGTAATAATAATATGATGGAAGATCATCTTTGTATTTTTAAATAAAAAGTTCATATATCAAAGACAAAGACAAGAGTTAAACAAAATAAAAGCTTTTGCTTTTTATTTTAAATAGTAGTAGTATTAATGATGCCCTCTTACAATAAAAATGAGATAAAAAAAATGAATAAATATAAACAGAGAAATTCTAAATAAACTAGCTTGCTTGATTTTTTCTTGTTTATAAGTCATCTTCATCAGAGAAAACTTCTTCACCACGCTTACGACGTTCCATACGCTCCTTCTTCTTCTTACGGAGTTCCTTGGAGGTCAGCTTCTTCTTCTTTTCGACGGCCTTGATGGTGTTGCCTTGAGCGTCGACCATGTCTTCTGCTTCTTGTTCCTTGATGACAGTAGTACCGTTACCAGAGACCCAGTTGTGACCAGAAGGAGTCAAGCGACCGTTGTCAACCTTCCAGACTTCAGTACACAAAGCTTCAGAGAATTCACGGTTGTGAGTAACGATGACAACACCACCACCATATTCCTTGATAGCAGTAGCCAAAGCACCGAGAGATTCACGATCCAAATAATTGGTAGGTTCGTCAAGAACAAGCATGTGAGGTCTGTTCCACATAGCAGCACCAATGACCAACTTGACCTTTTGACCACCAGAGAGACCACGGATACGAGAGTGAGTAGCGAATTCGGGTTCAAGACCAACTTCGGCCAAGTGCTTTTCGATTTCCTTGGCAGTCAAAGGACGGTTAAGACCCATCTTGGCAGCTTCAGCAGCATCGACTTCAGCAATCTTCTTACCGAAACCCATTTCTTCAAGCTTGGAACGAGAGATCCAAGTGTTGTCAACAGAGGAGCGACCGACCCAAGAGACTTCGTATTCGTAGGATTGCTTGAGCTTACGACGACCAACAATAGCTTCAACAACACGCTTTTCACCTTCAATCACGAAGACTTGTTCCATGGCCTTTTGGTTTTCTTCGGCGTTGTTACGTTCGTTCTTTTCGAGTTCTTCACGATCTTCACCGGTGTGGTAACGCCATTGGATGTATTCGTTGGGGGTTTTGTCCAAGTGACGTTCGATGTGGTGGAAAGCATGTTGGGCGACATAGGCAATACGCAAGTTAGGATGTCTCCAGACAGTACCAACCTCGGACTCGATTTCACCAGTCAACAACTTGATCAAGGTGGACTTACCAGCACCGTTGGGACCAATGACGGCAACACGAGAGGCAAGAGAACATTGCATAGAGATGTCGATCAATTGCTTGCGGTCAGAACCAGGGTATTGGAAGTCGACGTTCTTCATCTTCAAGATAGCACGTTCCTTAGTCTTGATACCTTCCAAGAAACCAGGTTCAGGGAAAGAGAACTTGATTTGAGTAGCTTCCAAAGAGTAGTAAGAAGCAGCACGAGGAACCTTCTTGACGAATTCGGACAAGTTACCCTTATAACGCTTGAGCTTGTAGTTGGGCTCGTAGTGAATGATGTCGGAACAGACATGATCCAAGAAACCAGAGTCGTGGGAAACAATGATGGAGGTAACAGTCTTCAAACCAAGGAGGTAGTTCTCCAACCAGGCAACGTTGACAACATCCAAGTGATTGGTAGGTTCGTCCAACAAGAGGATATCAGCGTTCATCAACATAGCACGGGCAAGAGCAAGCTTCATCTTCCAACCACCAGAGAGTTCACCAATAGCCATCTTGGTAACCATTTGTTCAGAGAAGCCATATTCCAAGAGGATCTTGCGGACTTCCTCGGGATCCTTGGTCTCAACACCCTCGGAGGCAAGGATGAAGTCAACCAAAGGAGTATCAGCCTCAGAACCATCGATATCGTGTTCGACGTAGACAGTCTTAAGCTCAGAACGAGGAGGGAAGCCTTCAACTTGTTCGTTGGCAATGGCGCGCATAAGAGTAGACTTACCACAACCATTGGCACCACAGAGACCATAACGACGGCCACGCTTGAGACGAAGAGAGGTACGGTTAAGCAAGATCTTGGCACCATAAGCAAGAGAGAACTCACAGTTACAGAGATCTTCACCTTCATCTTCTTCTTCCTCAGGATCCTTGGGAGTAACGGCTTCCTCACACTTGTTCAAGGCAGAGAAAGCAAGAGCCTCGGCATCCTCAGCGGTGTAGAAGGACTTGGCATAGGGAGCAAGAGCCTTGATCCAGACATCCTTGAAGAAGTTCTTAGCAACACAAAGAGCAAGAGCAACGTCGTTTAAGAACTTGACAGTAGGGGCAAAGGCTTCATCAATATCAGAGGGCAAAAGTTCCTTGATAGAGGTTTCAACCTTAACCTTCTTTTGCTCAATAGTGAAGACTTCGACACCAGGCTTGGCAATACGTTGAAGGGTGGCAAGGGCCTTTTGAACGACACCACGACATTCGGGGTCGGCAACAACATCTTGAACCTTCTCGAGAGCGGGCAAGAGAACAGGCAAGAAAGGAGCAGCGACATCGGGATCATCGACAAGCTTGGACATGTTATCGATAATCAAGGCAGCCTTACGCTTGATGGGAGTAGCACGTTCGTTCAAACCACGGGACAAGAGAGGAACCATGATGGAGAGAGTAGCAGCATCAACTTCTTGGACGAAAGTGGTAGCACCGAGCAAGTGAATGGTTTCAGGAACGTTTTCAGGGTGGTTGATACAAGCGATAACGGCGGGAATGAAACGTTCGATATCCTTGTTTTCAATGAGAGCACAGATAGCAGCCATGGTGTCAGTAGCTTGCTTCTTGACGTCGGTCTTGGTATCCCACATACAGTCAGAGACAACAGGAATAACTTCGGGAATGGCAACGAAGAATTCGGTGGGGTGGACCTTGGTCAAATCAACCAAGAGGTTAAGAGAGAGCATCTTGGTTTGCCACTTGCAAGAGTTACCGAGACCTTCGAGGATGAAGGGAACAGTAAGAGAGCAAGCGTTGGGGTTGATCTTGCTGATGAAGTTCTTGGCAGCTTCAGCAGCAGCGTTCTTAACAGCAGCTTGCTTATCGGCTTGAAGTTCCAAAAGTTGGCTCAAGAGAGCAATGATGAAAGGTTCAACTTGACCTTCGAGGCTGTTGTTGGTGAGAGCAACGAAAGCAGCAATAGCAGATAAGCGAGCACCGGTGCTCTTCTTGTTGTTGAAGTCCTTGATAAGAGCATCAATAATACCGGCATGCTTAAGAGAGAGGACGCCGTTAGTCTTGACAAAGGCAGCGAGTTCTTCGGCGGCAGACTCGCGGTCAGCATCAGAGGCAGAAGAAAGCTTGGTGAGGATTTCTTTAGCCTTGCTGGTTTCAACCTGACTAGGAGAGACAGCAATAGTCATCTTCTTGGATTGAATTTCGCTCTGGGTGTTCTTCTGTGCAGCAGTAGCAGGCATCTTTTTTCTTATTTCTATAGAGAAAGGATAGAGCGAAAGAGGGAGTACCCAAAGAAAAAAGAGAAGGGGGAGAGTTTAAGAAAAAGAAAAAGAAAAAAAATTTTATTCAAGTAGACCTTTTTATCCTTAAATCCCAAAAAAGTTTTTTAGCGAGATTTATAATACAAAATATACATATTATTATACTGAGTTTGAATATATATCACCACTCACAATCACTGAATGGATACTATTTTTGATGCGAATCAATAAGGTGAGGTGCTTTTTTTTTTATTTAAATACATATAAAGATCAGATGCTACTCTTTGTGTATTTGATTGACTTTGCAGTGTTAAAAAGAACTAGTGAAAAAGTGGTCAGGAATGATCAACAAACAGATGTATTTATGATAAGGAGAGAGTGTGTGTGTTTTTGTTTATGTTTATCAAAGTACAAGCCACGAATAATTAGATCGGTTTTTGAATATGTTTTTTTGCAATGAGAAACTGCCGTAGTCGCAACAACCAACTGAACCAATAACAGATGACTTCTTCTCATATGCAGTCTAGCCAATAGTAAAAGAGGGTGTGACGTACTGCTTAAGGTTAAACAAGGCAAATGAAAACATCCTTTTTTCTTTCTTTTTTTTTTTTTTTTTCCTTATTATTATATGGGCATGTTAAAAGTAAAATATATTAAGACATTTTATTAAACCAAAGACTAAAATGTTTATAGAGCGAACTAAGCTTTGACCAACTGATGGCGCAGGCTACTTTGGTAGCTAAACAACAAGATGCTGCATTACTAGAAAGAGCAAGACAAAAAAGAAGAGAAGATGAAGAAAGGAGGAGAAGAGAAGAACGTGCGATGAGAGAAAAGCGAGAAGCTCAAGAACTGTTGGCAAAGAAACGTGAATTACAAGAAAAGAAGCAAAGACAGCTCGTAGAGCAAAAGAAACAACAAAAGAGACAAGAAAAGCTTGTTAAACCACGTTCTGCACGTCCTGATCCTCGTACTATTTTACCGGAGAAAAAGGTGAACAATTATTTACTACTTGTATGATGTTTGAACTTATTTTTTTTTTTTTTTTTTTGCTTGATAGAAACCAGTACAAATGTCATTTGAAGATTTGATGAAGAAAGCAAAAGAACAATCTTTAGCTAAAAAGGAAAATCCCACAGCAAGAAAACCATCTATTACTACCAATACTCATACTACAGCAGCAAAAGCAACAACTAAATCATCTGCGACTGTCCATCATGGACCCAGCTTATATCATCGTACTAAGAAGCCTGAATCGAAAAATGATACAAGCAATAACGGCCAGTCGACTTTATCAGTTAGAGAAAGAGCAAAATTATTGGTTTCTGAGCCCCCAAAGAAGGTTATCGGTCAAAAACGAGATAAACGGTCAATTGCAGAAGTACAGAGAGACATAAGACATGCAAAGGGAATATATTCAGATGATGAAGAGGACCGTCGTAAAAATGACCCAAGATTGATGATAAACAAGAATAAGCCAACACAAAGATACCAATCATCAGATGCTGCAATAGGACGAAAACGTCCTTTATCCCCCCCTCGTCCTGCAAAAAAATTAGATGCACCTCGTCGCCCGGTTATGTCTGCACCTATACCCCGTATGCCATTCAGCGGTAGACCACTTGACAGAAATGCAGCTAAATTACCAGTAGCAAGAAGATATAGAAATGACGACGACGATGAAGACGATGATCTTGACTCATTCATTGTTGATGACGACGAAGAGGAAGATCCTTATTACAAACGCAAAAACAGCTATTCTGATGAAATTAGTAAAATATTCCGTTATGACAGAAGCAGGTACAGTTAGCCTAAGAAAATGTTGATCCTTTCATTTACTCTTTTATAGATATGCTAATGAACCAGTATTCTCCGATGATGATATGGAAGCTAATGCAAGTGAAGTTTTAAGGGAGGAAAAGAGAAGGTATTTTTTTTTTTTTTGTTATTGTAATTATATGTCAACTAACAAACAAATGAATAGTGAGCGTATTGCTAGACGTGAAGACTTGATTGAAGAGCAAAAAGAACTTGAAAGGTTGAAGAGACGAAAGAAGAATTCTGCATAATTATATACAATATTTCATATCATATGTACATAAATAAACTTTGAACACATTTAGCAATGCGCAATAATAAGCTTACAGCTACTCCCTTGTTTGGAATCTTCCCTTGACCTTATTTCCCACTCCTGTTTTAATGACTTGTGTCACTGATCTCCCCCCTCCCATTGTTCTCCAGTAAACAACTTTTTTTTTTTCTTGTAATTGTTAATTTTACTAGATTTATTAAAAGCAATTGCTATGGTAACTACAAGTATTTTTTAGAGGAGAAAGCGTGAATTCAAAGGAAGGCATATCATTGATAATGAGCATGTGAAAATACGACAAATTCTTAAACATATCTGTTACTGTACGCCTGTTAATAGCGTCTGCGCCTTTGAGATGACCGAATCAATCTGACTGGATAACTGACCCTGATTGTCTATGTACATTTGAAGTCTTCCGAGCAACTCTAATTGTTCCTTGGGTGTTAGATTATTGATGACCAAAGCCAAGATTGTACCAACAGATACGTTATACATCTATATTCATCAGTCACATTTCGACCAATTACACCTGTGTGTTTACCTTGATAAAGCTGTGGTAATACATGTAAGCAAATAAACCCATCAAAAATTGACAATCCATCCTATCCGTCAAACCACCGTGACCAGGTATGCTCTGTCCAAAATCTTTAATCTTGAATGCTCGCTTTACTGCACTAGCAAAGAAGCCTCCAAAGGGTGCGATAAGAGATGCAAAGCAAGCCATGACAAGAGTGTGTAGTTGAATGGGTGCAATGTAGATCTCTGATACATCTGTAAAAAGCTGTCACGCGTATTAACTATTGTTACATCTACTGTTTTATAGTTAAGCATACCAAATATTTAACAACATATCGAATCATGGGCGGTAAATGCCAAGGAGCAGCAGTAAATACGGGATTCTTTGGCTCACAGGATATATCAGACCATGCAGAGGCCCCAAGGTCCTGAACGGGGCATATCATATAATCAAATCTTATAAGCACTGTGGTAATCTAATGATATCAAATGTGTCAGTGTATGGCTCCTTTTTTTCCATTTTAACTATACCAAGAAGCCAAAGATGAGCGTGAACACGAGACCACCGATAAATCCTTCAACTGTCTTTTTGGGCGATAATTGTATGAGTGGCGTCTTGCCCCAAAAGAATCCACAGATATAAGCAAAGGTGTCATTACAGACAACAAGTGCAGCTGGCATAACAAACCAAATCAAGCCTTCGAGAATATTATCAACAATAAAATGTGCTTGGAATACGATCAAAAAAATGGCCATATGAGTCCATCCGAACTGTGACATCTGCTGCCTGTAGTGTCCCTTCTTGAGGTTCGTCACAAACAATACGAAACCTAATAAAGTCAAAAAGATTTGCCTCAAGTATGATATCATATTTACCAATGACGTATAAAGTGAAGCTAATAAATCGATGATGTGTAGCAAAAGGTAATAAAAAGGCATCTACCATGACAATTTCCTTAAAGTAATAGATAATAGATTCACCAGATAGAAAATATTCAGCAGCAATCAAATAGTACCTAATTGAAGCATATAAGTGAGTCATTTCTTTTGACAGGTTATTGATGATAAGCGTACCAACTCAGCGTCTTGTACCAGCGTAAGTTGCCTTTAGTAGAAGCAATTTGAATGACTTCTCTATATACCAACACTGTAATGATCATCACCATAATAATAGACCAAATGTATCCCGAGGCAAGCACAATAAAGAACATGCTGATCATGATCAAGGTTGTTATTGTTCTAATCCACCAGTTTCTCCATTTCTTATTTGGGGCTTCTGAAGCTAAGAGCGTCACTACTTCTTCTTCCAATTTCTTCGACTCACTCTTGTTGTGTTTTGGTTGCTCAGCTGTCGTAGTCTTTGCTTTTCGTCGCGCCATGAGATAAAGTGTATAAAAGAAGTGTAAAATGTATTTTGTAATGCAACGGCTGAACTCTAAATGCTGATTTTTTAAGGCTCAGTAGCAATCTGGGTTTGACATAGAACTCAAACCTTTTTCGGAAAACTTTCGTACACTTTAAAAGAAAAAAAACCGTACAGCTGTGGAATCAATCTTGTACAGGGCCTCACCAATTATGTATATCAATGTTTCTTTCTTTAAAAGCTTCTCTCTTTTGAGTTTACTCTTGAATACTGACCAAAATTGTTCAATAGGATTGAGC